GGCACCAGAGAGGACATCACGCTCCAGCTGGTGATGGCCTGCCTCGAGTCTGGGGGCGAGCCGCCAGATGACGCGTCGGAGGAGGTCAGGTTCTACCTGCGTGACCGTGAGTACCTCTGTGTGAAGGACTCTGTGATTCTCCGACAGACGTCAGATGTGATGAGTCCTCAGGTTCTCGTGCCTGTTGCTCTCAGAGAGGAGCTGATGAGATTAGCTCATGACATCCCACTGTCGGCTCACTTTGGGGTGGTGAGGACTCTGAAAAGGTTGACTCCTCATTTTTTCTGGTGGAACATGAAACGTGACGTGAGTGCCTACTGTCGTAGTTGTTCCGCCTGTGCGCGCGTCAAGCGTCTAAACAGGGGAAGTAAGGAAGGGGTAGGTGCGATCCCTGTGTTGGGGGAGCCTTTTGCTCAGTGGTCAGCAGACATTCTGGGTCCTCTGCCAGAGACTAAGTCTGGGAATCGCTTTGTGCTAGTGTGCTCAGACCTTTTCACAAAGTGGGTGGAGGTGTACTGTCTAAAGGACCAGAAGGCGGTAACGGTTGCTGATTGTTTTGTTGACTTGTTCTGTCGATATGGTGTGCCAAAGTCTTTGTTGACAGACCAGGGGCGCAACTTCGACAGTGAGCTGTGCCGTACGATCTGCTCGCGGTTAGGTATCAAGAAACTCCGTACGACACCGGCACATGCTGCTTGTAACGGTCAGACTGAACGTTTCAACCGTACCTTGTGTGATTCGTTGTCATTCTATGTGTCAGAAAAGCAGGATGACTGGGACCAGTGGGTACCTGTGGTGGTAGGAGCTTACCGCTCTAGTGTACATTCGTCAACCAAGTACTCACCTTTCCAGTTGGTGACAGGCTGTGAACCACGACACCCAGTAGTGTCCGAGATGTGTGATGGTTTGCCTGAGCTGAAGAGTCAGACGTATGAGCAATACGTTCGTGACATGCAGAGTAGACTTGTCAGTGTGCGTGACAACGCTGCTAAGCATGTTAGCTCGAGTCAAGAGCATAGTCGTGTTGAATCCTCTAGCGATTTCAAGGCTGGAGATATGGTGATGTTGAAGGTTAACGCAGTGAAAAAAGGGTTGCACAAAGAAACTTGCAGATAGGTTTAACCCGCGCCCTGCTGGGGGGGGGGTGTTTGAACACCCCCACTTGTGGTTTTTCGCGAATATCTCAAAAACGGCGGCGCGGAGCGCCGCCGTTTTTGGTACACCTTATCGTACATCAATTCTACACATGTTGTGAAAATTTCAGACCAAGGTCATTGAAGGTCAGGTCACCAGGTCACTTGAAGTGACCTCACCTCATAAAAAGTTTAAATGTCTGTCCTAGCTACACCGAGTGACCGATCGCTTTGAAACTTTCAGCGATTGCTAAGAGCAATAGCATGTACAAAATGTATATCTCAGAATTTTGATATCGATGACCTAAGGTCAGGTCAATTTTGCGACCTCCCCATTATAAGTCAATGGGAGAAAATTGAAATGCGCCTCTTTTGGACAAAAGACATTATAAACACTCCCAAACACCGAATTACAAGTGGTTCAGACACACTGAACATGAAAATGGTGTCAGTGACCCTTGTTTATGCCCTGAGGTCATCTTAGGTCACGAATGGTATCTAACAGTTTTTCGCGAATAACTTTTGATAGAGGCATGCTAGAGCGATGAAAACGCCTTAGATGTGTTCAGCTTGACGATACGGATCGACTGATATGCAACATGGCCCTTTCCGGTCAGGTCATGACCTTGACCTGAGGTCAAATTTTTAAGTTGACCTTTCAAGGTCAACTTATAGTTCATTCGATGCGTCTTGACGAGAGGAACACAATGCCGGTAAAAGTAAGCTCGTACAAGGCTTGAGTCAAAAGTTATTGCAGAAAAACTGTTTCCGAAAAAAATCGGTTATTTTTGCAATTTTTGCCCCCTGCAGGCAAAACCGTTGACGTTAGGTCAAATCTGAGAGAATTATTCAGAAAGGGCTTTAATAGGGCTATCGAATGCTCTTTTCCGCGGCGCTGTAACTCTATTGGTTCTCGAGTTATGCATTGGCTTGTTGGAAATTTTCGACATTCGACCTGGAAATCGGCGAAATTTTGCCTTCAATGACCTCTGGTGACCTGACCTTTGACCTGACCAAAAAATTGACCGAAGTGATTTCGTCATTATTTTTGACGCTCTTTCGAACGCCGCCTTCCGCGTATCGCTACGTGGCCCAGGAGCCGAGTTACAAGGGGGGGGGTGTTCAAACACCCCCCCCCCCCCAGCAGGGCGTGGAAATCCAGGACCCCCAGCCGGGCGCGGGTTAAGGGTCCGTTCATGATTGTATCGGAGAAGCAGCCCGATTATGTTATCCGGAGCGGCCGGAAAAGTCTCTTAGTTCATGGTAGCAACCTGAAGAAGTGTATAGTGCGTGCAACGCCAGCCGTGGGACCCGCGGATGCCGATCCCGACGAGTCTCGAGATGTGCATCGTCTTCGGATTCCGTTCTCGCTGGAACCCGAACCGGTGGTGCCGTCGGTCCCTGTGGTGCCGTCTGAACCCGAACCGGTGGTGCCGTCTGTCCCTGTGGCGTCGAGCCGTAGTTCCGGCGTCGCAGCTCCGATTACTACGCGTTCTGGTCGGCGTGTGCGGCCACCTGATAGGCTAGATCTGTAGTTCGTGAGCGCTGATTTGTGTTGGGGGAATGTTAGGATTATGCAGCTGTTTAGTGCTCGCGTGGGCGTCACTTTCGGTGTTGTTTGCGCGAGCCTGGCGCAGCGTGGCTTTCTGCGTTGTGGCGAGTCTTTGTTCTGAAATGTAACGGAGTGGGCTACAATACATTTTGTTATCTTCTGAAGAGCAGCCTGTGTGGCACTGTGTGGGAATACTGTGTGGCAAGCCTGTGTGGCATCAGGAGTTTTAAGCCCAGAGTATAACAATACTTTTTACGCTGGAATGTTGTATTCAAATGCGACTCAGAGTCGGTGCATATACCTAATGATCTTAGCTTTAGTAAAACATTCAATTAATAAGCATTTTGTAAGTCCCTCAGAAATCAGCCCCGGGCAGCGACTGACTGCCGGCCGGCCGACCGGCCCCGGGTGGCTAGAAGCAGGGGCCGGTCACTGTTTGGCCCAGATGTGTGGGAGCGGGAGCAGGCAGCAGCACTCATTTTTCACGAATATTCGCATATTCATTTAGGCACATGGACATGAAATGCCATTAGGGGAGAGTGGGGTAAGATGCCCAGGGTGGGAAAGACGCCCCACCCCTTCTACCGGCAAAACAAAAAATCAAACCTGGAAATTAATGTTCTTAGCGTAAAGCGGAAACCTTCCTTGTTTACTGCATATAAATTTGCCAAGCTCAGTTGGGCAACGGTGGGCTGGTGGTTGGTTGTTTTATATGTACTGCTTTCAAAAAATATTTTAGTGTCAAAACATTGTGAATATCAAAGAAATTGTAAAATTTTAAGTCCCTTGCTATTGTCGTGATACATTTTTATGCGTGTACTTTGCCTCAACTAGTTTGTTTCAGGGTGTAGTTTTAGTGCTAACAAAATGTACTGATAAAATGTTAATTCGGTACCTTGGGGAAAGATGCCACCTGACCTGATAGGGAAAGACGCCCCCCTAAATCCGTGGGCTGCCCTTCAAGGAACTCGTCGAATCATTTAGTAGGTATCAGACACGATGCATGATCACAGACCAGAGATCCGGCTCATAACTTATATTCAATGTTTAGCCGATGAATCAAATCAACAGGACTATGTACGATGTACAGTCCCCAGCACTTGCTACCCATCACCCCCGGACGGCGGGGGAGCAGGCTACCACCGCCCCTGCGAGACTAGCGCCGCCATGCGCCAAGAAGTGGAAACACCACGTGACTGAGGCCACGTGAGGGCAGGGGCACGTGATGGAGGGGTGGAGCATAGTTAGTAGCTTTTGCGCCCGACACTAACTGAAATGCGGGGCTGTGATTGGGCTCCTTAGCATGAATGAAACCCCGGCGCCAGAATCAGCCGTTCGCCTTATATGGAAAGTGAGCCTGTGCGTTTCACTGTTCTGTGTTGGTTTGAGAGCCACGGCACCATACGAATTGTGAGCCCCTTTGAACGGTATAACGCAGTACTTCAGTGCTGAAAAGTGCATCGCTCTACGCAATAAAACCAGGGATAAGTTTATGGTCAAATGGGATGGCGTGCTCGACGGGGAAGGCAATCTCGATCTAGATAAAATAGTGTAAGATAAAAAAGTACGCATGTGATGCAAGGATTCATATAGGGGGAGTATGTTAGTGTTTATTTTGGTAGAATCTATGTTTTGAACGCAGGCCATATGTGTAGAGGCACAGCCGCATTATAGGACGAAGTTTCGGCCGAACTTGGCTGGCCGAACTGACGCCCGTCCGAGATGTTGTGGTGCTGTGGGTGTGCTACTGTTTGTGTTATACGTCAAATTGTGATTAATGATGTGAGTGTGAATAAACTGAAAAACCTTTCTCACGCCATGACATGGTCCTCTCGTACAAGATCGAGATGAGGAGAGTGTTTTCACGCCTCCTTATGCACGGCTCTAGTGTCATTGAGCTATCAACTGTCAGCGGTTTTGGGACAATGAAGGAAGGCTTTTGGTCGTTTTTAGGTCAGATCTTGGGTCAGATCATTTTGCACCCATCTCAATTTGAATCCTTCAGTAAATTTTGGTAAAATGTGTTTTTACAATTTCACGTCTTATTTTTCACATCCCAAGCGCAATTTCCGGGAACGAGCCATGCTGCTCATCAGCTGATCTGTAATGATGATCTGAGCACATCAGATGTGTTTTAATATGTCTTTATACATTGGATCTAGAGCTTAGAATATACTTTGAACACGAGGCTATAAGCTATATAAGCTATATATGTGTGGGGGGGGGCACCTCCGCCCTCCCCCGTCCCCCGTCGCCGACACCCCTGCACCGATGGGTGTGTGTACTGCATTGCGGCTGAGCTGAAGCCCTCTCACCGATGCAGCCCTGAAGCACCATCTGAAGAATTTTGGTGTCTGGTGGTTCTTGGTGCACGGCAGCACACAGTTCAGCCGTCTTCTTACGGATGTCCTCGATGGCCACTTCGATCGGAGTGAGGACCACCTGAAACAACGCCGCCCCCACCCAACGGCTCATATCAGCTAGCTTCTTGTATCGCCAGTATGGCAAACAAAACGACTTATAAAAGCTGCTGTTTTAAAATATGTGATCGTTAAGGTCTTAAATTCCGTTTTCATACCCGCTGCTTTATTGATATTAGCATCACCACGGGTTTTAACCCGCGCATGACATAGGGTATTTTTTATAAGCGAGTGACTTGGGGGGGGGGGCTCTACAGAGCCCCGTGACCTCGCCACGCGTCACACGTCACGCCACACACACACGCCACGCGTCAAATTGCCTCACTCCAGACAGAGTTAGAATGCTCGTCATAGCTCCTGACGGGGATGGTCTGCGGTTGGTAGGAGCAGCTGCAGCCAGTTGGAGTCAGTTGGGTGGGGCATGCCGTGTCCGGCTTTGAAGGGCACCTTAAACTTTGGTAGGTACCTAAATTCTCCCGTTACCCGGTCGGACGGTACACCAACTGAACGATCGTCTTGAAACCGATTGCAGGCGCCTCAGGCGCCCTCCAGTCGCAAAGGGAGCCTTCGGCGCCCAAGGGAGGCATGCCCCTATCCCCTGGCTAGCCCCTGGCGACGGTCGTTTCTCACCTCGCGGCGCGACAAGATGGGCACGCGCGTCTTCACGTATGGGAAGCTGTTGGCCACGGTGATGATGGTTTTGCGTTTGTACTGTTGACTGAGCTCGCCGTGCGCCCGGCCGTCCAGCGTGTACGGCGTGGCGAACATGAACGTCTCTGCGGTCGACACAAGGCTGGCGTCAGCACCGGTGGGTCGGCGGCCACACAGGGGGCGGTCACACAAGGGCGAAGACAACATGAATGAAATAGACTAGTCCCGATCTACCTCACTATTGTCCCATTCCACGTGTTAGTTGAATAATGTTTGGAACCAATCTCTGTAGTACTTAAGCAAGAAGCATGACAGTTTCATAATATTTCAGTTTTAACCCGCGCACCGACGGGGGTCTGCGCCAACTTCGTACCGACGGGGGGGGGGGGGCGGATGACCGCCCCCCCCCCTGAGATCTCGAGAACAAAACAAGATAGCGACAAGCGGTAAACGGCAAGGGATACGCACGGACAAGGTCTACAATTTTTACAAAGGTCATTTTCAGGTCAGGTCAAAGATGACGTCACAGGGGTCAAAAAAGTCAAAATGGCGGCGCTAGGTATGGAGAGAGCTTTTCTCGAATAACTTTCGAACTAGTCAATATAGGAACAAACTAAGGGCAGCATCGTGATCCTCTCGTCAATCCGCATCGAATGATATGTATGTTGACCTCGAAAGTTCAAGGTCAAAGGTTGACCTCAGGTCACGTGACCTCGAGGTCATCATGTATATCACTCGATGCGCCTTGACGAGCTGAACACAATGAGACCATCCGCGCGGCTGTATCTTGTTCCTGTACGGAGTTATTGTCAAAAAACCGCTGGTGACCTTTGATGACGTCACATGACCTTACAGCTACCCAACAGCAAAACAGACCTCAAGGTAGTGAAGGTTGATCGTATATGAGGTTATGTATGGTTGTATGGGGCCATTCTGACCCGTTTTAGTGGTAAAAACAGGGAGTTGATTTTTCCCCCATTGACTTATAATGGGGAGGTCGAGAAATGACCTGACCTTAGGTCATCGATATCAAAATTCCGAGATATACAAATTGTAGGTACTAATGACTTTATAACATCCTGCGACTTTCAAAGGCCTCCGACATCTACTGTAGCTCTGGCACGGTGACAAAGTTGCAAAAAAGTGACTTGAGGTTGGGTCATTCAAAGTGACCTGGTGACCTGACCTTAAAAGTTAGGAGGTTTAAACTTGCACACCATGTGTAAAATTGATGAGAGAATAATCGTGCCAAATTTCGTAGCGCCGCGGTTTTCCCGCTATTCGCGAAAAACCTCGGGGGGGGGGGGGGCGGATATCCGCCCCCCGTCGGTGCGCGGGTTAATGACCAGAGCGCTTTTGCATAAAACTTACGGCACCAGATAGTTTATTAATTGTCTTAGAATCGTACTTATTCTACTCCACTCTATTTCACAAAGGTCTTGAAAATTGTACGGAGAGTAAAGGCGGCCGCACACTGACGTCTGTCAAGACAGCCTCAGATTCAGATTCACTTTCAGAATCACATTCGGACCCCCTTAGATTTTCATAAAAACTGGTCCATGGGTACAGTTTTGGACGCTGATTCCAATGGTGAAGTCTGTTCTTCGCCACATATTATACTTTGGCCCCGAGAGGCATTCAAAGTTTTTTGGGGGGGAAGGGGGACCCCCTTAGATTTTCATAAAACCTGGTCCATGTGTACAGTTTCGGACGCTGATTCCAATGGTGAAGTCTGTTTTTCGCCACATATTATACTTTGGCCCCTAGAGGCATTCAAAGTTTTTTTGGGGAAGGGGGACCCCCCTAGATTTTTATAAAAACCCAAAAAAACTTTGAATTCCTCTAGGGGCCAAAGTATAATATGTGGCGAAAAACAGACTTCACCATTGGAATCAGCGTCCAAAACTGTACCCATGGACCAGTTTTTATGAAAATCTAAGGGGGTCCCCCTTCGCCCCAAAAAACTTTGAATGCCTCTAGGGGCCAAAGTATAATATGTGGCGAAAAACAGACTTCACCATTGGAATCAGCGTCCAAAACTGTACACATGGACCAGTTTTTATGAAAATCTAAGGGGGTCCCCATTCCCCAAAAAACTTTGAATGCCTCTAGGCGCCAAAGTATAATATGTGGCGCAAAACAGACTTCACCGTTGGAATCAGCGTCCAAAACTGTACACATGGACCAGTTTTTATGAAAATCTAAGGGGGTCCCCCTTCGCCCCAAAAAAACGTTAAATGCCTCTAGGGGCCAAAGTATAATATGTGGCGAAAAACAGACTTCACCATTGGAATCAGCGTCCAAAACTGTACCCATGGACTAGTTTTTATGAAAATCTAAGGGGGTCCCCTTTCGCCCCAAAAAACTTTGAATGCCTCTAGGGGCCAAAGTATAATATGTGGCGAAAAACAGACTTCTTCATTGGAATCAGCGTCCAAAACTGTACACATGGACCAGTTTTTATGAAAATCTAAGGGGGTCCCCCTTCTCCCAAAAAACTTTGAATGCCTCTAGGGGCCAAAGTATAATATGTGGCGAAAAACAGACTTCACCGTTGGAATCAGCGTCCAAAACTGTACACATGGACCAGTTTTTATGAAAATCTAGGGGGGTCCCCCTTCACCCCAAAAAAACTTTGAATGCCTCTAGGGGCCAAAGTATAATATGTGGCGAAAAACAGACTGCACCATTGGAATCAGCGTCCAAAACTGTACCCATGGACCAGTTTTTATGAAAATCTAAGGGGGTCCGAATGTGATTCTGAAAGTGAATCTGAATGCCTCTAGGGGCCAAAGTATAATATGTGGCGAAAAACAGACTTCACCATGGGAATCAGCGTCCAAAACTGTACACATGGACCAGTTTTTATGAAAATCTAAGGGGGTCCCCCTTCTCCCAAAAAAACTTTGAATGCCTCTAGGGGCCAAAGTATAATATGTGGCGAAAAACAGACTTCACCGTTGGAATCAGCGTCCAAAACTGTACACATGGACCAGTTTTTATGAAAATCTAAGGGGGTCCCCCTTCACCCAAAAAAAAACTTTGAATGCCTCTAGGGGCCAAAGTATAATATGTGGCGAAAAACAGACTGCACCATTGGAATCAGCGTCCAAAACTGTACCCATGGACCAGTTTTTATGAAAATCTAAGGGGGTCCGAATGTGATTCTGAAAGTGAATCTGAATGCCTCTAGGGGCCAAAGTATAATATGTGGCGAAAAACAGACTTCACCATGGGAATCAGCGTCCAAAACTGTACACATGGACCAGTTTTTATGAAAATCTAAGGGGGTCCCCCTTCCCCCAAAAAACTTTGAATGCCTCTAGGGGCCAAAGTATAATATGTGGCGAAAAACAGACTTCACTATTGGAATCAGCGTCCAAAACTGTACCCATGGACCAGTTTTTATGAAAATCTAAGGGGGTCCGAATGTGATTCTGAAAGTGAATCTGAATGCCTCTAGGGGCCAAAGTATAATATGTGGCGAAAAACAGACTTCACCATGGGAATCAGCGTCCAAAACTGTACACATGGACCAGTTTTTATGAAAATCTAAGGGGGTCCCCCTTCGCCCCAAAAAACTTTGAATGCCTCTAGGGGCCAAAGTATAATATGTGGCGAAAAACAGACTTCACCGTTGGAATCAGCGTCCAAAACTGTACACATGGACCAGTTTTTATGAAAATCTAAGGGGGTCCCCCTTCACCCCAAAAAAAGCTTTGAATGCCTCTAGGGGCCAAAGTATAATATGTGGCGAAAAACAGACTGCACCATTGGAATCAGCGTCCAAAACTGTACCCATGGACCAGTTTTTATGAAAATCTAAGGGGGTCCGAATGTGATTCTGAAAGTGAATCTGAATGCCTCTAGGGGCCAAAGTATAATATGTGGCGAAAAACAGACTTCACCATGGGAATCAGCGTCCAAAACTGTACACATGGACCAGTTTTTATGAAAATCTAAGGGGGTCCCCCTTCCCCCAAAAAACTTTGAATGCCTCTAGGGGCCAAAGTATAATATGTGGCGAAAAACAGACTTCACTATTGGAATCAGCGTCCAAAACTGTACCCATGGACCAGTTTTTATGAAAATCTAAGGGGGTCCGAATGTGATTCTGAAAGTGAATCTGAATGCCTCTAAGGGCCAAAGTATAATATGTGGCGAAAAACAGACTTCACCATGGGAATCAGCGTCCAAAACTGTACACATGGACCAGTTTTTATGAAAATCTAAGGGGGTCCCCCTTCGCCCCAAAAAACTTTGAATGCCTCTAGGGGCCAAAGTATAATATGTGGCGAAAAACAGACTTCACCATTGGAATCAGCGTCCGAAACTGTACACATGGACCAGTTTTTTATGAAAATCTAAGGGGGTCCCCCTTCGCCCCAAAAAACTTTGAATGCCTCTAGGGGCCAAAGTATAATATGTGGCGAAAAACAGACTTCACCGTTGGAATCAGCGTCCAAAACTGTACACATGGACCAGTTTTTATGAAAATCTAAGGGGTCCCCTTCGCCCAAAAAAACTTTGAATGCCTCTAGGGGCCAAAGTATAATATGTGGCGAAAAACAGACTTCACCATTGGAATCAGCGTCCAAAACTGTACCCATGGACCAGTTTTTATGAAAATCTAAGGGGGTCCGAATGTGATTCTGAAAGTGAATCTGAATCTGAGGCTGTCTTGACAGACGTCGCACACTGGGCCATTCGGCGGGCGGGATTCCGCAAAAGCGAAATTCCGTAAGCGACACTACGCCTCCGCGGACGCCGAATCAGCCGCCAAAACGAAAAATGTGCCTGTGAAGGGTCGGCAGACAGATGTTCACGGACAGAGTGCGCATGCGTGCGGACAGCTGCGGAATCGCGGAAAAAGCTGAACCGGTTCAGCTTTTTACGCGGTGAAGCCGCGGAAAGCCGAAATTGAGGAACTTGATACTCAATAACTATTGATGGTGTGGCCGGGAAATGGACTTTATTTGATAAGAAAGCCGTAATGTTATTTATTTCCTCGTAATAAATGGCTCTATGCACTTAAAGGAAATAGATCACTTTTAACATGGGGTTTTGAACTGGAATAGCAGTTTTGTAGTTTGAGCTGAGACTAGCACAAATCAGAAGCTTTTAT